GATGGATTTTCTAGGCTACTGCTGATTCTCACCCTGCACTGCTTCCATCTCATACAGAAACACAGCATTATGTTTAACACATCTCTGAATTCTTCTCTGATTTTTTCTTTTACAAAGCAATGTTCAAAGGCTACTGAAGCAAAAAAAGATTTGAGATCAACATCAGTGAAAATCTAATCTGTGTGAATGTAATAATTTTTTATATGTAATAACCCAGCACAGAAGTCAGGATCCTGCTACATGGGATGCTCTACAACCTCAGAACAAAAAGACAATCCATCTCTCAGAGAGACTATACAGCTTGATAAGTTTCTCTCTTTACTCCTGCACTGGGTCTGTCTGGGTTGGAGTTAATTTTCTTCACAGCAGTCCACATGGTGCTGTGTTTTGGATTTCAGTAACTAAAACAGTGTTGATAACACACGTGTGTTTTGGCTGTTGCTGAGTAGTGTTTGCAGAGCAGCAATAAAAGCTTAGGGCAAATGAGGAGGAAGTGAGGACATTCTTGGTTATGGCTTTTGACTTCCCAAGCAATCACTACGCCCACTGAGGTCCTGTTTTCCAGGAAGTGGCTGGACACCTGTCTGCCAAAGGGAAGAAGTGCATGAATTCCTGTTTTGTTCTGCTTGTACACAGAGTTTTGCTTCTCCTTTTAAATTGCCTGTCTCTCAAAGCAGGAGTTCTATCACTTTTGGGCTTCTGATTCTCTCCCCCATCCTGTTAGTGGGGGAAGTGAGTGAGCAACTTGGAGGATGCTTCATTGGTGGCCAGGATCTCCTTAATTGTTTGGTTCTCTGTGTGCCCAGGATTTGCCTGTAAAATTCAGCAATGCCATATGAACAAACAGGTCCTTACACCACATATTCCAACTGAAACCATAAGGAGCTACCAAGGAGCAGAAAAGGTACTCTGACCTTGGAGAGGATCTCAGTGTCACTGACATTGAATCAGCACAGGAGATAGGACATTGCAGCCTGTGGTTTTGGGAGCTTTCTCTCTTGATTTTGTCACAGGACTTCACTGTAGTCATTTCCCAAACTGTAATAGAAGAGGAAAAACAACTCTTCCATTGCATACGGAGCACGAGGAAAAACTCTGTTACCTTGGCAACGCGCGCCACAGCTACATGTGGCAATGCAATGAAATGCTTACTCCTGGGACAGGATGAGTATAAAGGTGCCCATCAGTCTTGGACATGACCTAAATGAAAAGTGTCATTTAGTATGGACAGTACAGAGTTACAAAATTTATGCAGTTTTGTTTACTGTAAAGGCAATAGGGATTTTGCTGCATAGTATATATAAAAAAATCTTTGGCAGAGGTTGAGCGAAGAACACCTCTTAATTGAAATGCAAGAAAAAAAAGGATGGTTGAAGTTTCTGTGACATGAGGCCTTTGCCCTTTCATGTCCAAGGAAGACTCCACAAGCCCTGTTTCAGTCCAGCAGGCAGAGCACAGCACAGGTCTGTCTGTGCTGAGACCTGAAATAGCAGCAGGGTGCAGGTAGACTCACCCTTCTCCACTCCATGTTTCACCAGCTAGCTTCCTATCTCTGTGTCACCTGGTGTCACAGACAAAAGCATCCTGCTCTCCTAAGGGCCAAGGCCAGATTGGATGGGGCACTGAGCAACCTGGGCTAGTGGGAGTGTCCCTGCCCATGGCAAGGGGATTGGAACTAGATGATTTTTAGGGTCCCTTCATAGAACCACTCTGATTCTATGATTGTAAGGTCTCTGCTTCTGAGTGCTACATTAATTTAGACAAGTGCCTAATCCCAGAGTTATTGTTTTATAATTGAACTTCAAGAGCTTCTATTTATATGTGATATGACTTTCTTAAAATCAGATAGGTGTTCTTTGTTAGTTAAAGTGTTTTCTCTTTTTTTGCACTTAATTACCAGGGAATTTGAAGCAGACATTTGTTATATCTAGGTCTGGTTAGCCAATTTCCTGTAACCTGGCATTCCCTGAATGCCAGAGGTTTAATTTCATTCCCTGAGTGCCAGATGTTCATTAATAGAAGATGATATGAACAAACCACCAAAGAAAGCTTCATTGTTCAGACATTACTAACAGCTTAATTTATGATTACCTAGTGAAGACTGTGATGGCACAGCTTACCACACAATGCTTTCATTTTCAACAGTTCCTTTCACGGAAACACTGCTAATAATAATGTTGAGCAGTGCAGAAAAGACAAAGCTAACTGAAATCTGTAAGGTGATTCATCCAAATGCTTACCATAGCTGCTTCCAATTATATAATTTTTTTCCTAATTTAATAATCTTTGCCCCAGGATTCGAACCAGCTACTGTAAAGCTTGTTTCCTTTTGTATGGTTATTTTTTTGGTGTGTTTGATTTTTTGGTTTTATTTTGTTGTTGGTTGGTTGGTTGGTGTTTGTTTTTCAATTTTTTCTTAGCTTGTGACACAGTGCTGTTTAATAAGCAGACAGGGCAAAGAATTCACAGGAAAGAAAGTGGAAGCAAAGATAACAATCTTTTCTTGGGACCATCATGTTAGATTTCTGGGCAACCCCAACTTTCTGGGGCTGAAAAGAATGACTCAACACAAGAGACACAGCAAGATTACTCTTACAGATGTCCTATTACACCAAGACCCCACTTCAGTAACTACTGCCCATGTTTCTCTCCTGTTCCCTATAAACCCCTCACCCAAGGAAAGCTCCCTCTAAGGAAAATTCAACTGCAGTCTGTCTCTCTGCAATTTAAATCTTGCTCCCTCCCTTCCAACTAGATTAAACCTGAGATGGAAGAGTACTGCAAGTCTGACTGTAAGACATCACTAAATATGTCAATATACATATTACTATTGGAATATAGAATTACATGTTACTTTGCCATATGGAAAGTCATTATATACAGATATTCAAATTTTGGCCACAGCCTCAGCCATTAATGATACCTAAAGTCCCTTTCCAATAGGAGCCTTATGCCTCACACCTTGGACCAAAGCTTGCTTAAAAGCCCTTCGTTTTTAAGCAAGAATTCCCTCACTACAGGATATAAGATGGTCCAGGGCTATTTTTAACCCACGTACTACAGTCCTATGGTAAAGTAGTCTTATACTCTTAACCCCACTGCCCTGCTTCCCAGCCTTCCAGAAATACTTCCTGGCCTGTTCTCTAAAACCCTCCTTCCATTAAGCCCCAGTTGAAACTCTCCTGGGTTTGCTGTCTGCATTGTAACACACTTATTACAAACTTCACAGTGCTGCTTGTAGAAGAGCTCTGTGAGTGCTCTGTGGTTACCCCTCAGAGCCCGTCAGCAGCAGAATGCATTGGACAGCCAGGACATAAGTACATCCCATAAGAGATCCACAAATGTCAGAGTGGAGAGAGAAACATGGTTTTTCATCCTGCAATTTTTTTTTTTTTTAACATTCAACTAAGTAATGGGAATCCTGAACTGTTTTGTGATTTGCAAAACTTTTCAATTATGTTAGTTTATATTTTGATAATGGTAAAGCGTGTCATTTCACATTTGGGCTTCTAGTTTTAAAATTAAATTGGTATTTAGAAAATGTCTTTCTGAACCATTGTCTCCTAAAAAATGAAACTAGTATATTCTGACAATTTCAAAACAAGAAAATTCAAATTAAATAAAAAGCTGGCAGAAGATTACTTTTGTTCTCTGGAAAAATGCTTTCAATTTCAACAAATCATAATTTTTCCACAGAAAAGTGTCCGTCACTAACTCAACTGACATTGTATTGCGTACTTCCAGGTGTGACTTTTTCCCTTGATTTCTGTAGTTGTTTGGAAGGCAGAGACTACTTATTCTGAAGTCTAAAACTCAACCTGAAAAGAAAAAGCAAGGGTGTCACTACAATAATAGGATGTGAAGGAGTCTTGTCTAGCATATGTATATTTTTTTACTTGCTACTTTTTGAGAGAAACTGGAGGTTGGTATGTTAATGCTTTGTAAGAATGGTCCTCAGCTCAAACACTTTTCTCTCATCTAAGACACCCTGCCCCAAACACGAAGTCTAATCCTCAGGGACAATTAGACTGCAGGGTTTTAGCTCTGTAGGTTTCCAGGAAAATAAAACTGAGGGAAAGAGCAAGCTTTCAAATCTCCAGGTCCATGGGACTTTTTTTGCTCTATGCCACCAGCCAGCTAGATAGGTCTTCAGTTTGAGTCTTGTATATATTGAAATAGATGGATAGGATGAGCACACTTCGTGAGTTGTCTATATTGCTATCAGAATTTCTATGCTCAATATAACTCAAAATACATTTTTTATTTATAAAAATAGGTGGGGTCCATCATCTACTGCCAACATAGACAGCGGGAAATAGTATTTCTTTCAGAATCTACATACATTTCTATGGAACATTATTTTCTTGAGAGGAAAGTGATGAGACACGAACGTGCCCTGCTTTTCAGGAACTGAGGAGGAGCTTACTGGAGGAATAGAAGAAGATTATCAGTGAGTTAAATCAGCATGTCAGAGGAGGAAAAGAGTATTGGAATCAATAGGTATTTTCCTGCTGTTGGTTTCTCATTGGGCTTTCTAATCTTAACCAAGAGAGTTTGCTCAGAGCAGGGTAACATACTAAGTTAGCATAATGTGCCAGTAATGCAGCAGTACAAAGTAAGTTAGACTAGGCAAAGTTACAGCAATTGGGCTAAAGAGAGTTGTAAAAAAAAAAAAGAACCACAAAAAACCCACACACCAAAAAATAACAAACAAACAAAACGCCAAACAAAAACAAACAAACAAGCGCAAGCAAATAGGGAAAAGTCATAAAATCATAAAATGGCTTGGCTTGGAAGGAGTCTTGAAGTAGAGATGGAAATGATAGCATGTGACTATGATACAAGAGATATTTGAAGGTACTGGTGTTCTGTCTCCATGAGAATGTCTCTGCAATAGTCAGTGAGACTTTACTGGAGTGTAGCTGAACTCAATTTGACAGAAAAAAAAAAAGCAAGATGACTCAGAGTGGAACCTGTACTGTTGGAACTCCCCTTTCCACATGACAGACCACCACAGCATTAAACCATGGCAGAGATTTAATCAGTGCCCAGAAGCTGTTCAGATCACCAGAACAGACTGCCTGGCAAAGCATCTAAAATGTGTGAAAAGAGCATAAGTTCTGTATGAATTTAGCCCAGTGGCATTCATCATGCCCAGTGACTATGTTAAATTTAGAGCAGAATACAGCAAGGAGAGAAGTAGGCAGAAGAACATAGCTATTGGATTTGCAAGCCTGTGGATCTCTCCTGTGGAAGAGGCGTACTCATTTTCCAAGACATTATAAACTTAATGTATGACTGTACAGTTATTGTGCAGAAGTACATTAACAACTCCTTGCTCACTTCAGGGTATAAATTGGAACTGCACCTTTATATATGTGTGATCAGTTTTTGCCTCCTCATCATTTACAATTATGAAGAAATTCTGGTGAGGTTCTGCTATTGAAAAGTTTGACTTTGGTTCTCTGCACAATGTCTATTCCCAGAAACACCAGCATCAACAAATACAGATTTTCATATAAAAATACAAAGAAGGGATTATCTGTGACTGCAAATGGATATTCAATGAATGTCATTCTTACATTGAATATTTGGGGTTGATGACATGGTCCTCTGGCAGATGATCAATAACACAGTGATTCTTACCCTGCTTGCTGTGACCCCCTTACCAGTGGATTTTCAATTGCTTTGAGCTCTTTGGTTTTGACACCTTGGTTTTTGACAAATTCAAGCCACAACTTTTAGAAATCAACTACATCCAGCATTGTTTTTCAGCTGTTCCATTGATGACACTGTGAGAAGAAAACTTTTTCACAATTTCTTTTCACAAAAACTTTTTCAAGCATTGCTGAACTGCTGAACTCCAAGTAGATTGACATTTTCAGGCAAAACGCAGCAGCTGGAATAAAGGCTGGCAGAAGGTGTGTGCTCTGGAGCACAGCTGGTGAGAATGCCTGGCTTACTCACTTGTGAAAGAGTGGCTAAATTTATTTCTGCTTCTTTTCTACAACCTGCCCTGCATACTGTGAGAGGATCAATTCGTAAGGTAGCTGTCCTGACCAAGAAAAATGCCAGAGCACTTTCAAGTAAAACACCGATTTCCCAGATGCAGGTAAAGAATACCATACCAAAAATAACCTCCCAAGCAAAAGCTGAAGCTAAAAATAAACAAATCCCAGGAGGCTGGGCATTCTCCACCCAAATCTGCCCAGCTCAGCAGCTGGTTACCTACACCTGACTTCTGCAACTACAAGTTAACACACGCACATATTTCCTCTCTGATAAAGACCCAAGGCCTATGCCCCTGGCTGTCTGAATGGAAGTAGCTCTATTCAGAAGTCACAGCCTATTCTAAATTTAAATAAAAATTGAGGCTAAATACTGGCTGTAGCATATTTTTGCTAATGCCAGAAAAACCTGTGGAAAGGCAAGAAGTGGGGTTTCCCAAATGTGTTTCATCTCCCTGTAGGATTCACGAAAATTTGTTCATTATAAATCCTCTAGGACAAAAGACATAGTGAAATAGGTATGTGCGTTGCTACAGTTAAAGCACAATATGAAGTCACACTTGATTTGGATTATTTGTGTTCCTGCAACTATGAATCCTTGATGATAGAGTCAATGCTTCTGGTTAACTAATGTGAGTGGAAGGTGGAGGAGAGGGAACGTGAGAATGGTCTGTGAAAAACAAAGTGGTACGTGTCATAACTTGTCTGTGAAGGACTCCCAGTTCTAACACACCTGACAGAGATTGTCATTCATGTAGGTGCTTTTCTGCCTCCTCCTTTTCAAACCCAATGTGTGCCCCTTATTTCAGTAATCCCTTTGCTATTTATATTATAAAATATCACCTGAAAAGCATGCCTTGCTAAAATGATGGTCAGACATGGTTTGGCAGAAGTGCTGTGAAATCTTCAGTAGTTTCACCCTTGATTTCACCAAAAGGTTTGCCATCGATTTGCCAGAAAGTGGAACCAGGCCCATGCTTATATATCATTACAACCGCCCTGAAAGCTGGTGCTAACAAGGTGAATGTACATATTAGCACAGTGAATACATGTCAGCAAGGTCTTTGCACACATGCATTGCTGCATGCACAGTTTTAGAGACTGGCTTGCACATAATATTCCCTATGTGTTACACACGTGCAGCACCACAGGCCAAATTATTCCGCAATCAAAACGCCTTCTGTGAGTAGACTGAAGCAAGGAGTAAGGAGCATAGTAACAAAATTGTTCCTTATTTGATTTACAATTACAAGGATCACATATCTACAGAATTCTGTGATTCTGTGACACACAAGTTATTGAATAGTAAACAGTGATTTAGGGCTAAAGGCTGCAAACAAAGAGTGTTTTCTGAATTACTACAGAAACAAAAAGAATGTCAGCATTCTAACTGGAGAACAGGGACCTTTTGTTAAAGGAATTAGTGGGAATAAAAACAATGTTCCTTTACAAAACATTGGTAACATATTTAGTTTCCCAGCCAAACTGAAAACATTACCCCCATTCACTTTTTTATGATGTATAATTGAGAAAAAAATCAGAAATACGTTTGTTTTGTTCAGTGTAAGGAAGCATAAACTGAAATTCTTAGTGAAACACATGGAAAAGAATGATATCTTGGATTTATTTTGGTTAGAGTTTCCTTTAACAAAACAAATAAAATACGCTATTTCAGCAGTGAAAAGCTGAAAAGGAGAGTTACACAGCAGTAAAGAGAAAACAATGCAATTTTATCATTACAACAGTCAATATCAAACTGCGTAGATGTTCACAGCATCATAATTAAATTGATAAATTGAAGTATGTGTATGACCAACATCAGCAGTGCTTCTTGCTCTTTCTTTCAAAAATACTGTGTAATTTGAATGATGATTTTTTAATAGTCTGAGTCCCTGAAAACTAAATAGAAGAAAGAGCAATTATATAATGTTGCAATTATTTTGTGCTTAGGTGTGAGAAAAGGCTAAAGCAGCATGCTCTGAAAATGTATTTGTTGTTACAGGAATTTGGAGGGCATAAGGAGATAATTGGACATCTCAGTCAATGGGCAGGTAATGAACTGAGCTCTCCAAGAGAAATGTTTCAGTGATTTAAAAAAATTCACTTCCCTGGAAGTGTTCAAGGCCAGGCTGGATCGGGCTTTGAGCAACCTGCTCTAGTCAGCATAAGGCAGCACTGAACTGTATATCTGAGGCTCTTATGCCATGGTCCATAATTGTAGTCACTTTCACAAGCAAATTGCAGAAAAACAAGGGAAAGTGTGATCAGTATCATGAAACAAAGACTTCAATGAGCAGTACTGTGGGCATTTATTTTAATGTTGCATACACAAAGAGCGCATGACCACATCTCATTCAAGTCTCACTCAAGAGACATTACATTCACATAAGGTTATTCCAATCTAAGCTAGTCACTCAGCCACAGTAATTTTCAGCCTTACGGATCCATCCAGTCCTTTTCACAAGTTAAATCTTCCTAACAGTTCTGACCTGCCAAGAAAATGGGTTGAGCTACACACGTACAGTGCAGCCCTTTGCGGGGAGGAATTACTTCTTATCTAGGATGAGATTACCCTCCTCATCTTTGATTTGAACTCGTCCAGTGGAGTACTTGGTTTCCCGTCTGCCATTGCAGTACACAGTTTTCACAGTGCCATCTGGGTACTCCCGCCTCCTGAATTGTGCAGTGTGAATCTCCTTCTGGCCATTACGGAATATCACTAATTTATCTCCATTCCTGAAAGAAGTGACAATGAATGAAGTGATGAGAAGGCACCGTCTGTAATTAACCTATCGCACTGAGCTGTCTAATGTGACTCAATGAAAGTGGAAAATAATGTCAGAATTAACACAGGATGGCATTCGAGATCTTATCTTACAAAAAGATTTCAATACATAGTATAATAGATAAGGGAGATCTGTGTTTTACATGACTTCATTCAGGGATCTCAAGGCTTTTTGCAGGCAGAAAATCTGTTTTAACAACAGGAACTTTTCTAAGCTCTGAAGAGACATGCATAAGAGATTCCTGTTGTTGTACTTCTCATTTTGTGTGGAGGAATAGAGAGACAATACATGAAATGCCTTGCCTAAGATTAGAAAGGGAGCCAAATGGGTAGGAATACTGCTCAGGAGCCCTCATCCTGAGTCCTTTAGCACCCATATTTTTAACACAGACAACTGGTGATCTTCCAGCAACTCTGGCCAGTGCAAAGTTACAAGGAACGAAATGAGGAATATTTCACAGTTATTTTGCCAGTGACCAATGGTCACCTATCACTCAAGGTGGAATCAAACAGTTTTCAGTGCTACATTGTAGCAAAACTCTTGCTGTCTTCAAAATTCTTTCTCCCTTCATCTGGAAATTTCCCAGCTATGCAAAATCCAGCCACAGTTCTAAATGTCAGTATCATTGTACCTGTGTCCAATGCCTGGATCCTGTCATTTATGCAAGACTTACTTTTCTACTTTTACTACTGTGCCATCTGGGAAAAAGGTCTCCTTCAGGCCGTCACTATAGAGGCATTTCACTGTGTGATCTGGGTACACAATTTCTTGTGTGCCATCGGGATAATGTTTTTCTGTGGAAAAGAAGATGTAAAAAATTTTTCTAGTATTTATTCATGTTTCTTTACACAGAGCTAAGACAGGATTTTTTTTTTTATATTGCAGTGAGGATGGAAATTATATGCACAGTACGGCTAAAGAAATTAAAGAATCACATAATCAGATAATCAAAATTAGAAGAGCTACATTTACATTCCATTATTATATTTGCTTTGTAGGAGAAAACTGAGCAGTGAAGTGATGGAATATCCTGGAAATGAAATGCAAAGACAATATGAAATGGCAAGAAAATACTTAATCTGTTGGAGTCAGAACGCAGACCACACTTTCATAATAGAAATAAATCTGCACATACCATTCACGCTTATGAGCTCTTGCATACCTATCTGATTATTAGGGAACTGCAGCACCTCCAGGCCATCTGGATAAGCAGTGTGGGTTGTCTGTGCATCTGCATAATAATAAATCTGGAAGGAGAGTGAAGTGTTAGCAGGACTTGTTCACAATATTTGCATAAGCAGATTCAACCATAACAATGTGCTTAAAAGTAAGTCATCTTTAAAAAGTCATTTCAAGGTTGTTTTCTGCATCTGCCATCCATAAAAGTAGCTATGTTCACATTGCTGTTCCTTCCTCTCATTCACTCTCCTCCTCATGGCTGTGTCTAGATGATGCTGCTTTCATCTCTGTAGCATACAGAAAAAGAGTGTGTACATGAAAGTCATCCTCCCACCTCTTTGCTTTGAATCTCATCCATGAACTATTAATTTAAAATAGCCCTACTGGCCTACAAGACCTCACTTATTTCCACTCTAGCTCACATTACCATTAATTATTTATATTTATATAATGCCATGAGGAATTATCTACTCTACAAATGGATAAAAACAAGTCCTTCCTTCATATGGCTGCTTCTGCCCCTTGCCTTTGTTCAGTCTCCTGCTTGGCCAACCACACATTTTTTTCCTTCTTTGACTGTTACCTTCATGCCTTTCTGCTTTTGTCCTTGTAAATGAAGTTTCGCTGCTCAGAGTTGTTAAACCAACACCCTTTCTTATCAATTTCTCTCAGAAATGGTGGATCAAGACAAATGATAGGACCTTGTTGGAAAATCAATTAATCATTTTATTTTCCATCAAGAAAAAAAAAGGTTACACACCACTGTCTGATCTGGCATGATCTTCTTTACATCTCCATTGGAAAAGCTAATTGTTGTTGTCCTTTTATCAACACTAATCTCCTTTTTAGTACCATTGCGGAAAGTGAGGATTCGGCGTCCATCGGTA